CTGTACCCTGGGGGCAGGGTAGGGTTGAGGAAGGGCTGCTGAGTCGTATGGTGAGTCTGCGTCTGGTTCTGCTGTGGCTGGGCTAATGTGGTAGCAGGAGCAGGGGAGGCAGAATCCCCACGGCCAAACTTTGTTACATCACCTGCAAAAGAAATAACCGACCAGAAAAGCTATAAAAGCCACTTCAAAAGGATCTTCTGAATACAATTAACAACTGCAAAAGAGATAGTGTCCTATACTTGAAAGGCTACAGATTTTCATGGAAGAACTCTCCTGGTCTCTATTCCTGACAGCCACAGGGACATTGCTTATTCTTGGCAGAGAACTCTGTGCCTTGCTTAATCCCTTGATAAAGTTGAGCCAACAATACGTACCTATCTCTCACAGTCTGAGAAGATTCATCACTGTTAGACCATTGCAATAAAGCATGCTAAAAGCACAACCATGGTAAATAGCCAAAGAGCAAATGGTTGCTGGGTTAAAGCATGGCCCTCCTAAAGATTAACCTGATTAGTTAAGCTTCATGGGCGGAGAGCAAGTTAGGATTTACAGGCAATGACGGGCATATTTTTGTCAATATCTGTTTATTTGTCAAGCATGAGTAATTAGATGTCTGATTCCTCACACCACCAAAGGTCTGGAGACAGTAGCTGGAGGCCAGGAAAGCAAGGCTTGCATCGTGGGCCACCTTATTGAAGAAGTAGGAAGGGAAATTTGGTTATTAACCCAAAAGCAGCCTCCTAAGAGAGGTGAGTAACCAAGCAAAACACTACAACACACTTGCTTTTTTGGCAGCCTACAAAGTAGCATATTCACTCTTTTTAGGGAGGTGACGTATCACATCTGTCTCATTCCTACCTAGTATTCCTTTTGTTAGCTGCCAATAAGCATGACAAATTTTAATAGCTGCATTATAGGAACACCACCACCTATGCCTACAATTTTAAGTTGTAAGCTGATAGCAGCAGGAGAAAACCACAGGATGAAAATCTTGGATGGAATTAAAGTCATCTATACAGATTGACAATTGAAGAACAAGGGCCAAGATGAGGAAGGGGTTCTTAGACCACATGCTTTTGGAAATTAAGTTCATCAGACTCAGGGATGGAGCGGGAAAAGCCTGCTAGACTCAGCTCCTGATGGAAATACAGAAATGCTAAAATAGCAGAGTAGGAGAAGCTGCTAATTAAGGTCTGAAATGGTCTATTCTAGGGGCAAAAAAAGGAAAGAAAGATAGCTCAATTTCAAAAAAAGCATGGAATATTTGTACATGCTTGAGAAAGGCATTAGATGATACTTTCATTAACCCTTACAATAATTTTGCACTTGTTCTCAAAGATTATCCAGCTTTATCCCAGGAGTCGTCACATACAAATTATTGACCAAAACTGCAGAGAAAAATCAATGTCAGCGTTGAAAGAGAGATGTTCATTTCTGTTTGACTAATTTGGACTGGTGGCTTAAACTGCTCGCAGAGGGGAAAAATGATTGTTCTTTCAGCAGCAGCATGATGACCTACATCTAAGTTGTCATCCTCTTCTCAAAACAGCACTCACCTGAGTACGGATTGTTAGCAAGGCTCCCATCTCTGCCTGTTAAGGTTGCAGGAGCAGGGAATGTAATTCCATAGTAATCCTTAGAGAGAGGCAACATCATTTATTAATGGTTAACTTCATAACAGAATTAGGCAGTTCTTACAACTGTTACATGCATAAAAAATTGAAAAAGCAAGAAATAAAGGAGGCTTGGGCAGAAGCTGACCTTATAGTTTACAGCACAGCTGGATCCCTAACTTCCAAAAAACCTTGTTTTAGTGACACTTTTAACATCAACTGCAAATATAGCATCATTTAATAGTAAATTTATGAGCCAAGTCCAAGCTTCTGCTTTAATCTGCTGACCCATCTAGAGGAAAGGATGTTTAGAGCCTGACGAGCAAGAATAAATCCTCTTTTGCACACCAGCTCAGACCAAGAGGTGGCCACTGTCAACTGAGCAGAGGTAAGAGCAGCTTCTCAACACCGCATGGTCTCCATGGCTGCGAATACTTCTTCCTCTCCACAGCTGAAAAGTCAGAATGGCTTCAGCTAGAACACATAGAGGAGATGCACTCCTGGCCAACCATCCACCTCAGCTCAAACACAGCAACCAAAAGGTTTTCTTTTCTAACCCTCAGCTTTGAGCTATCATCTTCCAGTGAGATTGTGCCCAGAACAGCAGTAGAACATCAGGTTCGCTGGGCCAAAGACTTGAGCTCAGGCCAGATCCATAAACAAAATGCAGATTAGTCTAAAGGTTTTAGTCTTGTAACATGCTTTGCTTTCAAAAAGTAAAAATGTGAGCCAGAGAAACAGTATGAACTTAATTAAAGGAAACTACAGAAAAGAGTTACCAGCTGAGATTGAAAGTTTGTTTTATACTATGTTACAGGAGCCCTTTAGATCATTGTTCTAGGTACCCTACAGAAATGTAGGGCAGTCCTCGCCCTAGAAAGTCTACACTTTAAGATGACAGCACATGCCAGCAAAAAAAAGCCAGCATTTTGTCTTCAATTTGGAGGGAGGGAAAAAAAAAAGTCTGCTCTTCCCTTTGATTGCATGAAAAAGCTCTCGCCTTCACCAAAAAAACAGCCCACATGTGGAGCTGGTACTCTCCTAAGCTGTTTTCCTCCTAACATTCATCACTTATCCCTCACCATTTCTAAAGCATTAACCCTTGATGGATTAACAACTAATATACCCATTTCCACACATTCTCCAATGCTGGAAAAATACTGTTCTTCACACGCACCTCTGCAAATTCCCTGGCACTTCAAATGCTTTTCTCTCAGTTAACAACACCTTCCACCTCACTGGCATTTCTAAATATCACTATCTTGTTTTCTACACATAATCCTCCATAACCAAACATGAAAAAATCTGGTACAGATTTAATATTGCAGATACTTTCTGTAACCTGATACACCCTTCCCTTCTGCTGGGGGTCAGAGCGTGTGGAGTGCGGGTCCCGGGGCTGGCAGCAGGAGCTGGACTGTGGGTCACAGTGCCCATGTGCCAGCGGCAGGGGTGGTCATATTGTCCCTGACCAGGCGAGCCTGGGGCAGGGATATAATATGTTGGCAGACTTCAGGCTGCCGGTGAGTCGGGGACGTGGGGAGGGGGGCCCAGGGTCACATGCTCAGCCTCGCTCCCAGCTGAACCTGGAGCAGGTTGCCCAGAGAGGTAGTGGAGTCTCCTTCCCTAGAGATATTCAAAACCCGCCTGGACGCGATCCTGTGCAATGTGCTCTAGAAGACCCTGCTTGAGCAGGGGGGTTGGACTAGATGATCTCCAGAGGTCCCTTCCAACCTTGGCCATTCTGTGATTCTGTGAACCTGCGACTGGGAGAGTAGCAGCTGCATCTGTTGCCCTGGGACTGGGAGACTGGTGTTTGGTGGGGGGGGTGGGGATTGCTCAGGGGCCCAGCAGGAGGAATCCCCCCAGCAGCAGTGGCCCTTATAAGATGCTGTTGTTAAGGGAGGTATCAAGTCTGGGATGAATCATTTTTCACAAAACACAGCCAAATTCTCTATCAAAAATCTTGTCAGAACAAAGTAGTGCTCTCTCTTCTTCTGAGGAAAAAAATGCAAAAGCAGATTTGGAGAAGAGATCTCAACAGGACCTGATGGATATGAGAACAGGGTCTAAGGAATCCAATTATTCTCCTTGCCCTTTGGGGGGGGGGGGGGGGG